TATCCGTCTACAAAATTTTATTAAAATTTGTTCTATTTCAAATCCGTAGTTTTTGCGTTAAAAAGTAATCAATATCCAACCATCAAATCCCACTAAATTCCGTATTTATACGATAGTAGTAGGTTTTTAAATGGCATTTGTCATAAATCCAAATTTCTAATGTACGACAAATGTCATGTCATGTCATGTCATAATCAGCTCTGCTTCGTAAGTGACGTCGTAAGCGTTTCACCTAACGGACCACAGCATCTGTGTCCGAAACAAATAGGCATTGGTTCATATTGACGCAGTACGCACGTGAGGCGACCGCACCACGCGGTCACGTGTGCGTCATAAACGTGCGTGGAATATTGCGTCATATTTACGGCCGTGCAGGGCAAAAGATCCATTAACTGACCACCCTCCTGTAATAAGTGACGTCACTGATTTTATTATGATTTATATTAATCAATCTAATTATTGCGTACTATAAAGGAAATGTGCTCACGATTATAACTCGAAATGGTGTAGTCAGTGGTATTTGTTGGTTGATATCATTGTTGTCGAAGTAGATATAATTTTTTATGCTACTCAGAATGACAAACAAGCTAATGCGTCCTGAGGGGGTAATTACCCTTTTTTTATCAGGCTATGATATAGACAGTACCATGTACATCATAGAATGCATCGTAGAATAAGAGATCTTTTTTAGAGATAAACAGATTTAAGAACTTGTTAGCCCACCTTTACTAAAAAAAAATATACAAGGACAAGTCTTTATATATATATACATATTATTTTGGTTACCTGAAATTCAAAACATAGCGACTGTAACTGGCCACTAATCAGATGTTTTACCCTACGTCTGACGTAAGCGGACAGCATCCACGGCGGCAGCCATACATTTTGCACTGGTCGTTTCCGAGTTTTATGCATAAATCTTGGTTATAGTACAATTTTTTTTCGAATTTACAATTTTTAATATTGAATTCGATTGTGCTATTAATTTTCTATCATAGTATTTTTATACTATTATCACCACCTGATGGAAAGTGGTAACTGTTGCTTATAAACATGACCAGCAAGTCTTTGTATACAATAGAATATTATTGTGACGTCCGTGGTAGCCCCACGTATTTGTTTTTATTCCTGATAATCGGTGTTTTGTCCTTTGATTTCACTACAACATTTGTGTACAAAACGTATTTTTAAAGGACGGGCCTTCAAAAATACAGTTTAGCAACCACAAGTACTATAAATGCAGTATTACAGACCCATTAGAAATATTTTTTGCAAGAATTGGTAAATAAAAACATATTTAATTTAATCTCAATAATATTTTAAAAAATTTCATAAAAAATTCACATATTTGTTATACGTGAATTTTTGTTAGTTAAATTTCATATAAATTTAGGTCTCGGTTTTAATATATTTAACACTGTAGATTTCCGGGGTCCTCTTGAAGGTAGGATCAAGCTAGTGTTCAAAAAGCTCGGGGTGCTGAATAGAGCAAAACAGTATTTCACCCCGAGACAAAGACTAAGTACAAGTCGTAAGTTCGGCTCCTTATGGAGCCCTCATCTGTGGGCCGCAGTTTCTGGATACCAACTTGGTCCTCTTGACTCCGTTCAATGACGAGCTATGAGAATAGTTGACGAACCCAAGCTTACAGGGAGGAAAGGAATTGTTAGTGACGGGGTTTAACAGCCCTATTGCTAGCAATCTTATTAATCAGGTCGACCTCCACGTGGTTCCCCCTGGAAACAATCGTGGTTACTTCTCGTGGAATTCTTCACGATGGTCTAACTGACTTGCTTTTATCCTCATCTATCATCTCCCACTGGTGCTCCGCAGTTGTTAGCACTTTTAGCGCAGACGGCGTTACTATTTCATTATCATCCATTTAAGAAAAAACCTAAGCTTACAAGCGGTACTGAGCCCTTAAGTTTAAGGCGATTACTACTTTGCCTCCCTGTGTGTATTCTACCACTTTTATAATGGATTGTGTTTTAAGAAACTACTTGAAATGATGCCTACGATCACCTTTTATCATCGCACCGCTTGTCATCGACCGGGAATTTATCCTCACACGCTCGATTCTAAATGGTCACGTACAGTGCGGTTTCAAAGGAATTTTCTCCCGCGACCGCTAAGGCTGTGGAATGAGTTCCCTGCTGATGTTTTACCTAGAGACTATAATATGAGGTTTTTCAGAAAGGGTATATTAAGGTTTCTTCAGGGTCGGCAATGCGCACGTGATATGACGTGACGTGAAGTGTAGCGTGCGTCCATAGTCTACAGTAACCGTTTACCATCAGACAGGCTGTAAGCTGTTTACCATCTTCGTGGTAAAAAAACGCCTGTCACATGCACACATTAATAAAATACATACGTACACTTCTGTAACAATTTTCTTGTCTTGTTTTTGTTATTGTATTGCCAATCTGTCAGTACGTATATTATACTATGTTACATCAATGCCTAACACTGATAATAACTCTTAAGTCAATATTTCTGAGAATGTATGACACTATAAAATATTGTCTATTGAAATTTATGCGAACGAAGTCGCAGGAGAAGGGCAGTATGTAGTAACTGTAAATTAAAATTGCGTTAAGTAAAGTTATATATTTGAAGCGTTCAACGAAATACTTTGCTTAACTTGGCATTCAGTATCTCTTGAGACTTCTAACCTAGGTTTAGCTGGAAAACATTGCCCTCTCGAGAACGATAAAATCGTTGATTTTATGATAAAGAAAAAAGCACTAAAAAGAGTATACAATAAATAAAACCAACATTTCAAACCAGTTTCTTTATTTCGTGTTCATCATTTTAATACAACATACAAGTAAATTATCATCGGATATTATTTATCAATTCTTACCAACTAACTTAATTAAGATCTGAATAACAAGTAGGTATGTATGCATGAGTACTTTGCTTACGTTTGGCTGTGAATACACATGTATGTATCCACAACTGCTATGTATGATATTCAACCCACACATTGACAACTAAACGAATAAACCAATAACAAATGTTTTCAAATACCCCTGACGTATGGAATGTACGGTACAAAATATAATAAGTCAACTTCAATTCCAAGGTTCGTATGCAAATAATTTAGCATCGTATACAAGCATAGAACATCTTGTTGTAAATAAATAAACACAAGCACACAGAAAAAAACTAACTGGGATAATGGAAGAAAATTAATCACACCTTACAACTTCATTAGAATAGTGAAACAAAACTTTATGAGCAAAATACACGCTTTTATCTCAAAGACAAATGACTGTTAACATTAAATTTTATTAACTGCAAAGCAGATACAGTCGCAACAACTTTTTTACCTGTGACATTATTATTTTCATCGGAATATACATCTCTTGAAAATAGAGCAAATATTGCTTACTACAAAATTGATAATTTGCCCAAAATTATTAATAATTTATTTATAAAAGAAATTGAATAACTACAGCCCTTGCACTATTTATATTTTTAGGGTATAAAAGTTGTTACAATTGAACTCTATATAATATACTTTTTAAATAAAACAATAGTTATACAGTCAGTATATTTCTTCGACAACCATTAATTAACAGAGATTCTACCTATTTCCATACATTACATTAATATATTGTGGAAAATCATTAAAACGACATAGGAGAAATTTGAAAGAGAACACCATACGACTTAAATCAATAAGAATATAGTATTGTCGATCGATCTGACTAGAAAATATAATGAAACAGAAACTGTAAGAAAACAAAATTAAAGAATATCCTAATATAAGAACCACGAAAAAGTTACATACAACTTAACTCATGAAACTAAGAAGAAACTTAGGTTAACCTAATCGAAACTTCGCTGACTAGCTTCGGGAATACACAATAAATTACGATGAAATAAATAGCAATAATAAATTAGTTTTCAACAATATAAAGGGGTAAATTGTTTTTGTGCAATGGCCCCGTATTTTAAATCGATGTTTTCATGTTTCTCAAGTTATTGCTCCATGTTGAGCGGGCGTGTACGAGTATATTTAGGCAGTAGATAATTGTTTGACCTTACATTTCTGTACGAATGAGAATAAAATATGGAATATTAACGATAATAGGTAAATGCTAAATAAAAATCATATAATACAGTGGGTTGATGTTTATGAAAGTGCAAAAGGCGAAGATTGGGATCAGTTTGGTTCAGAGATCGTTACAGCTTTCGGATACAATCTAATGTAACATGAACACTAAACAACTAAATCAGTTGCCACGATTTAAAATATATTTTGTGAGTACAAAATGTAAAAAAGAAATTATTCAAAGAGTTTGACAGTAAATTTTTAATGGTCAATCTTGCATGATTTACTAGACCACAGTCTTTCTTGTTATAATTAATTAATAACTGTTGTTAAATAAACGACAACAATTATTGAATTAATTGTATCAAATAGAAAAAAAAAGAACTATAATAGTACAAAATAGAAACTAAACCGTGACAATGATATTTTACCACACGTTTAAATTTAAATTCCTACACAGATATAAACCTTAAGTATCGATTAGCATTCAAGATCATTATGAAAAAATATATCATCGGAAATATTTTTCAACTTCTCTCCTTAATTTCAAACCACCCAAGAACAACTTAATTATGCATGAGACAACCGATTTTTATAACTACATGTTTATCCCTAACAACACTTTGGCAACAAATAGTATTTTCACTTTTAAGGTTTTTACCGTTATCTTCAACAGTAATGTTAACGTTATTTTAGTCAACATTACCATATCATTTTATTCGGCCTTTTATCGAATTTTTATCATCGTCTTTAAAGATAGAAGACAGATAGAAAAGGATCGACAGAAGACATCTATGTTAACATCAGTGACAATTTGGACCACACGACTTCAGATTTGGCTATCATATTTTTCTATCTCCACCCATCCAATTTGACACTGACGTTACAAAAACAAATAAATGAGTGTCTACCTAAACTGAAAAACAATATCCAGAATTTCTTTTTTTTTTTTGCTTTTTTTTCTTTTACTGTGATCAGTCTTAAAATTGAGTCATACCATCTAACTAAGAAATGATGAACCCTTATTTAATATCTTAAATCATCACTAGGCCAGAACTAACATCGGAATTTGCGGTGTGGTTTCAATGGTGATTTAGTTAATGGAAGTACGAACTATTTTAGGGAGACAGAAAAAGGTATAGAACATTAGATTAGCAGACGATATAACAGTAATGATTTTCAAATTGTTTCATTTAGATATAATTGCATTGTCCGTGATAATTAAATGTACTTTATGGCATTTAGATTTAACGCTACTTTGACAAAATCATTGGCCAGAAGATGAGGCAATTATATCTAATTGGGACAGTTCGCATAATTGTTGTTGTTATGTTTTTCTTTCCTCGTATTTTCGTCTTCAATAACCACATGATTGTATATTACAATAAATGGGAAAAGGGAACTTTTTAACTGTCTAAGGAAAAGGCTTCTCGACTAGTAAGGCTCTCGGGGAAACTAGTTTACACCATCCTTATCGCATAGATTATTATTGGTTTTAGAGTAATCAACATTGAATAGTATTTTTTTTTTCATTTTAATATTAATCTTAATACTAAAGAGTACAAAAAATAAAGGAAATATTATGAATATATGAAAAACAACAAGTTATCAGCGAAAACCATCGCATCTCATATAAGAACAACATTGTTTTTTTTTTCGTTACAGTAACATTAATTGTATTATCCACGCTTATATAGTAGAGATGGGAAGTAACAGGTCATCAAATAGATGACTGTTGGGCCTTCACTGGCCCCATACCTCAGAGTTGACCTCACAAAATCAGGAACTCCACGCATCGGAGGAAATCTTTTTGTGAGGCACCCAATACATACACTTAATTCCTTAACTACACATCATGATCGTTTCCCTTCGATTATCCTCAAAGTATCAAAAATATCTGCTAAAACAGCCCTTTCCCTTAGAGAAAAACTCGATAGAGTACATTTTGAACAGTCTCAAAGTAACTAATGAGTAGGTAACAATTATCAAACGTGTTAAAATGGGGATATGCACGAATTGAAATCAACAATTACCATTATTTTAGGACGTAGTTTAAAGCGATAACTACACAGAATACTACTGCAACATCTAACCTAGTTAAGGGTTACAATACAAGAGAGATATTCATTAGCACTTACGTCTAAAACAGTATGACAATGCATCATATTGAAATTATGAAACACTCAAGGGATTCCTTAAAGTTTGTACAAAATTCAAATGATTTTTTTTAATTTTTTATAAAAGGATTAACACATTCCTTCAAATTTAAGGCCACGGCGCAAAATGGTGTTTCAGTAGATTATATAGTTAGATTACTGAATTTTAAATTTATGTTTTAGCGGTGTCATTACATTCTATACGGGCCTTACTTAATGTTCATGCAAGTGCTTACTGTGTAAAAAGTGTTCATTCCCTGATAAGTCAAATTGCAAGTAAGAAGCACACTTGTTTGTTAAAGTACAAAATCATAATGCTGTGCACATGAATCACTCGATATCTGTGCCAAATGGAACATCTCAAATGATCTCTTAACCTACGATGATTATACTACTATCAAGGAAAGCACGGCTTGAAATTGATTTATAATTAACATCATTACTACATTCGTATGTAAAAAATATTGGTGACAGATTCACACTGTTCAAAGCTCAAGGTGTGTCTTAACCACTAGACTAACATAGACAATGCGATATCTAAAAATACATACTACTCCGTATGCTAAGTAGGATATAATTTAAATTTAGTTCATCATAAGCATTGTGTTCTTTATATCTGGCAGGATGGCATTAAATGTGTAAAATCGATTTATGTGTGGACAAATTTAAGCATCATATAACTAATTTAGGTTAAACTTACGTGCATACACATATTACGATAACATTTAATTATCTAAAAGCAATTTCTTTGGCGACTAGCTTCATTTAGAAAGATTCCAAATTATCTCTTCACATTCCACCGTCGAACAACGTAAACACCATACATATTCTAAACAACATGAATATTTGAATTTTGGTCTATTAATTTTGTCTACTTTCAAATGCTTCCACTAAGTGGACGATATGTTCAGTTTCAATGCATGAAACAAATTTACTATTAAATATTTTATTAGTTTAACATCAGAATATTTGAAAACTGTATTAGTATTGTCGGATAGATCAAACAAATTACACGTCCGTTTCATCGTGTATACGTCACTAACCGTTCCCGTCAAATCAACTCCATCACCTCTTTAATAATAAACCTTACATGATATGTCATTAGCTACCATCATCATCGTTCTATACAGTTTCATTTGGAATCTTTCCTTGTGTAAAAATAATGTTATTAAAATTAAAAATCACACACCTTAGAATTATAATAAATTACCTAACACACTTTATGAAATTAAAGACGTGAGATTAGAATTAGTTGTTACATCTCCTTTACAGTCTCTTTTATACATCGTAGAGATGGAATCGGAGCGCCTTAATATTCTCACGAAAATAGAAATTACATTTGTCACTAAGCCAATATTAATTAAATGCTGACAGCAACATCAATTACTAAGGTACCTACCGAAGTGAAAAAGAAACGCATAGAATATAGCAAGAAGGTATTACGCCTACAATCAATATTTTTGTAAAATCCATATCATATAAAACACCTTAAAAACTCCAAAACATATCCTTCCAAAAGAGTATCATCATTGTGAAAATAAATACTATTATTTGCAAACGTTTAACTAACATAAGCGATAGTAAAATATTTTTTTTACAATAAAATGTATCATAAATTCAAACGTGAGTTAAATTTAAACATCAGCGTAGTATTCTCTGAGGATGGATGGTTTGTGCTCATATGTGCTTTGTTACTTTCTCCTAAACATACAATAATCACAATTTTCGAGAATTCGTATATAGACAGGAACTACTGAGATCTCTCATAAGAAAGTGTTGCTTCGATGAACTGATAGGAAGTACGATTACTGATCAATAGTTCTGTCTATAACGATGTCAACGAGTAACATAAGTACTCATTAAATTTTAAAACCAATGTTATATATATATTGTTACAGTAAAAATCATTGAATACATTTTTTTTTCATGAAAAAATACATCAAAAATTAAGTGAAATACCAACGTTCTGTGCAATTCACTAGTTTACTCAATTAGCGAATCAAATTCAACAATGATACAACATCGCCGCTTATAATAATTTCATAAAAGCGATGATAAAAAAGATAATGATTATCAAAATATGATAATAGAATGTGAAAATTAATACAATTCCTGAGCAAATGTATGCGTACGTGAGTTTGCCATCGCAAATATTGTAAATGGTGACAATGAAACGAATATAGAACTAAGCGACAATTATATTTACAAACTCCGCACGACTCAACGTATCGTTAACGTAAGATCTATAAAATTCAACGACGCTCTACTACGTAATAATAAGTGACCAAACCGTTAACCACATACAATCTGACAAGCTAACATTGATACAATATTTACTACCTTGATGAATACATTAACAGGTGAATTTATTAACTGTCACAAAATTACTGATTTCAAACAATGTTAAAAGTAGACATACAGCTATCGATATGGTTACTGTAAACCCTTATAATTTAAATCTAATCCTGACGAATTCGGATATCGCTCCGTTCAAATTTTGCTTAAACAACAATTCCTAGCCATGTTTAAATGTACGCAATCTCTTTCTAACAACGTAGCCTCAATTCTAAATAACATCTTACAAATAGTTACCTATCGTTGACTCATAATTTCATTATAAAAATACACACTCTTTCACACTACATTCATCACTCTGTTATTCCATCGTTTCCAACTTGTTCCAATCCCGGCATTCCTTATTTCTAGATAATAATACTACCAACATCTTTATTCTAAATTATTTACATTATTTTCCTACACACTTCCTGATTATTATTGAATCGAAACGAATCTTGTAAAACTGTTTATTCGGGCATGACGGGATTAGGCAAAAGCTTGAAATTTCATCAATGATCAGTTCAGACTACAAGTCTTACATTAATATTTAAGACGTTAGGATAAAGAGAAAATGCTGAACGTTAATACAAATCTCGCGGATAGGACAGCAGCAGTGGAAGAGAATTCTGTATAGGTTATTATTTGATATATGATTTATTAGTACTGATTCACGTAAATATTCATTGGTGATAATTATTATGGAGATTACAAAATCGAAATAATGTTACAGGTGTGTTGGGAATCTTAATTAAGTATCTTAAGAAAGTTGCTGAGTATAAAATTATAAACAATTTTTGTAAGCCTAGTTTTTGCTTACGTCACTAGTAGGTGCTAGAGTAAGTAGTAAAATGTTCCCTATAGTAATTGACTTGGAAATAGTGGTTTTTTTGGTTAGCAATTCGTTTTTAATATCTTAAAGCAGTGCTGCTGCTGGAGAGAAGGGAACTGTATCCAAAGAATCCTTAAATGGGTATTAATTGCTACTTTTTCGTAGAAAAGTAAAGCTTATTTGGGATATAAGATTACTTACGTTAGAAAGTACAAATAGTTCCTTAATACGAAGATTTATAGCCTACATTCATAAGAATATGTATTTATATTTAATGTAGTTTTATTGAAATAAAAAAACTGAAGTTACCACCTAATTCACTGAGAAGCTGCACGTCACAAGATTTAGCTAATAAAATATTACCCTAAAGTACATTTTACATTGTATTAACTCTTTGTATTGATTTTTTACTTTTTGCTGTTCAGATTACTTTAGAAGAGCCGATTGATTTTTTATGATGTCTTAATGGAGTTTTCGTTTGTTATTTGATTATATATATATATATATATATATATATATATATATATATATATATATGATTATTAATGGCATATTATTTAGATAATTACTCGGGGTTGATAAATAAAATTTTTAGAGAAATTAATATATATCTGTAAACAAAATTGAAATGCCTTTGTGACTTAAATTTACAGTATTAAAACAAATTCAATTAAAATTTGTATAACTGTTTTAACTTCAAAATGACTAAATGTACATACAATATATAGACTTGGAACCACAATAGTTACTAGTTTAGAACTCATTTAAAGTAAGCAAGATTACTGTCTAGTAATTCAATGTGCCATATAATCTTATTAAGATAAATCATTTCAGCTTTTGTAAAGTAATTCTTTTAATACAATTACTACTTCATTTTTAGATACAATCGAAATCAAATTGATAGAATAATATTAATTTTCATCATATAAGTTCTAAGTGTCGATTTTATCAGACATTAATATTCGATTAATTTGCATCTTGCATGAATGACCGAAATGATGATGTTGTATTTCAGTTCACTTACAAATGAGTGTCAATAATACGCCATTGATGCTTCGCTGAATGTACATTAGCGACATGATGGCAGATAATTGAAGATGGAAGTGTACTACCATGAATTTACAGGGCCGAATGAAATACGAATTTAATGTTAAAATCACGAATGAAATATTGACAATTTCAGTAAGTCCGACTTTCCGATTCAAGAGTCATGATGGCAGTTATGTTACTAAAGGTCCTATTTCAATATAAACGTGTTTGAATGTATGCACGAAGTTTTGGTTTAAGATTTCAAAATTATATGTTATAATACCTGCCGACGACGTCTTGTGTCTTTGTTATTAACACTCATGGTAAGTGTATTCATACAATGTCGAATTGATCGATACTAAAGATAAGTGAAAATGTAAATATTTATAAAATTTTAGCTAACAGAAATTTGGTCCCGTAGCCACTCATCACAAGAAATTTTACAACTTTACAATCATATAATAAAATTGTAGTTTGATAATGTTTGCGCATGGAAGATATTTGAAAAAATTTAGGCGTCTTGAAAAGAGCAATAGAAAATAAAATAATAATTGTTAGAATTTTTGTCTGTCTGTATGTTTGTACCGGTATCATGCAAAAACTATTGCATCAAATTGAATTTGGTTTTGACAGTTATGTTCCTGAGGGTCTAACGTAAAATTTCAAATGAACTGGTGAATGTTTTATCTTGACATGCTATCTAGAAGCAGTTACGTTATGAAAATCGACTCGTATGAAGTAGTGGACAAAAACTAATTAAATAATAAATGCAACTTAAAGTATTTCTTTGGTAAATCTTATCCACTTAATATTAAGTTTAATAACTATGCTGACAAGTCCTTTGGACGCTATATTTAGTTGATGAAAATAAACCATATTTATATTTTACTCAATCTGATATCGATTGTTGGAAGTAGTATGTCAAAAGAAATTATCCTCTTAATGCTAAAGCAATAAATACTTACGATTCTCATGCCAACATTGTTCCCCAACACCAACTGTTTCGAAGTTACTCTTATCGAAAATGCACACACACAAAAAACACACTTGGGACCATATCTATACAATGTTTGTGCCAAAGAATCTGTAAATTAATAAATACTATCTTCACTAATAAACGGTTTTTTTTATTTATTTAATGATTTACAATATAACGCACCTAAAACTTATATATATAAATATTATATATGTTAATTATATATGTTAAAATATAGGTTATATCATAATAATATAATATAATTTTTAGGTTAAATTATTAGATACATTTTTTTATGTATACAATGGTAATTGCTGTAAATATTTTTTTTACTTAAGTATTGTTTTTGCTGTTAGAATATATATTAAATGACATAATATGAAAGTGTATAAATAAGGATTCATTAGCACAAACATTCGCCGTAAAGGTTTTTTTATGTAATAATTAGTCATACAAATTTTTTTATTAGAAAAAAAATAGATATGACCAATTTCAGGAAAACTACTGAAGCACTACTCGGGCAAAAAAAAAAAAAAGAAAACAAAATAAAACACACAGTAAAACTGCAATGAACTGGTATTATTATAAAAAAGCAATATTACAACAAAAATAATTCAAAACAAAACGATGTACATTAATTTAAAGAACAATTGTTTATACAAATAATTAAAAAAATATAATAATTATAACAACAAACATCGACAAAATATATTTAAAGACAAAACATGTTTCAATTTTACTCAGTCCTTAAGCTTCAGAAATGCAAATTTAAGAATGAAATATTTTCATGTATGAAAATCATTCGATTAGGTACATATTATGCAAAACAGAAAAAATATCTTGTAAAAATATTAAATCATTAAAATGGAACCTAAAATTACCTTCCTCAGATTAAATAAAAAATAACTAAGCGTGTGACCCGACTCGATGTAAATCCATCGACGATTTAAATGACGTGATGGAGCGTGCATTTACGTGATGAAATGTGTGACAACCTCATCGATGGATTTTCACCATAGAGAATCTCGCCTTAACTTAAAAAGAATTAAGAGTATGAGTGAGCACACAGCTTCGGGGCACTATGACGCAGTTGTCATAATTTTAAAATCTTAATGAACCACTATGTTATACCTACTTAATTTAAATATAATACGTTTAATGATCAATTAAGTAGAAGCGTATATTGTTACCAAAACGATTTATTACATAAAATAGTAACGTAACCGTAGAAACGTGATCGTTGCCATTTTAAGAATAAAACATGAAGAATTTATCTCTAATTAGAATGTATATTCAATACAGCGTAACCTCAGTTTGTTAAGACGAATCAGAAAAAATAATAACATTTAAAGAGGTACATATAAATTTATAGACATAATTAATAATTACATATACATATATATGATAAAATAACTAAATATCATACAATAATATGATAAATTCGGCAGAATAAACTGAGGTAAAGCAGATTTGTCTTGGGCAAAAGATTGTCTATTACATGTTATTCTTAATTAAATTCAATAACCAGTAGATTAAGTGTAATAAAATCATCGGTATGATCTTAGGAATGTTTAAATTTATTAGGAACAGAGACAGTCTATAAAAAAGTCATTGGTGGACAAATCACTGAAATTTGGACTCTAAGATTACACGCAATTGTAATACACCTAATCTAGTGGAAATCTTGATTAAGTTATATTTAACTATTTAATCGAAGGCACGTCAACTTTGTATTCACTAAACACGGTGACTCGCAAATTACAGAGGTGAAACAATCAAGAAACTTCCATTCTCAAAATGTAATAGTGCAAGTGTTCATATACAAGAATCAATTTATATGAATGTACCCTAGATGGTATTAAATTCATAAATTCATTGGCTCTTAAACAGGATTGCATCTTGTGGTCCAGCTTGCACTTATGAGTAATTAATTAGATGAAACCATATAAGGTAGACCTTATGATTATATTCAATAAAACAGAAATATGGTACATATTTACAAAAACTAAATATCACTTATTAAATCACAACATGATCGTATGGCACATGCAACGCAGGTATTGCTAAAGTCACGGTGCGTGAAGCTAATTCATTGGTCGACGTGTCTTCAATATTAAAAAAAGATAAAGGAATATCACCAAATTAAAACTCGTAACCTAATACAAATGCAGATCAAAAATTAAGACTGTGACCAGCAGCCTGGAACGAGGGGCCGCATCAGATCTTTTTATTGTCATAGATTCAGCGAAAAAATACTAAAAATCATTATTTACTAATAACCAAAATTAATAATGAAAACCGAACTAAAATAATTCTGCTAGCACACAACACACGGCAATGAAGTAAAAACTGTAGCATAATATTCATAAAATACGAAAAAAAAAAAAAGATTAAAATATACACATGCACCGTTAACTACCACTACAAAAATAAAAATGTTTTCATATAAAAATATCTTACCAGAATAACAAATTGTATAATTATCTTTTAAATGTGTGAGCTATAATACTCCAGCAAGTAGTAAAAATCATTAAAATCAGCTAAAATCTCAATAAAATCATTGTTTGTAAAATCTAGCGAGACGACATTATCTAAAGTGCTCTTTACTAGTTACTACCGTGTTCATCATTAAAAAAAAAATACATTACAAAATACTAGATTTGTATAAAAACGAATAATATTATTATCAACCAAATGTTACTAATCGTTAAAAACAACGTGAAGAAACTAAGATCCGTGGGCTCTCAGTGACTAGGCGGTAATGATATCGGTTAAAATACATAATAACTGACACCGAATATAATAAAAAAAAAAAAAGAAAAACTACAACCATCTCGTCTATCCTGCATTTGATTAATATAATCTAAAATGCTTTAATGACTCAACCCCACATGAGTCTTGTAATCTCTAACGGAATCAAGTAGAATGTCATGTCAACTGAGATACATAAAACATTTTTGATCATTCGTCACTATGTGATGTTATTTTATGGTAATTTAATTTTTGCGACAATAGTTTTTTAGTGAGATTGACTAAAAAAATCTATTGTAGAACGTAAGGAACGCCGCAGTCAACTTTGTCATTGATAAAACCCCTAACATCACATTTCCCTAAAATTTTGTAACTACTTTAAAAAGGGGTAGTAACTAAAGATTGTCCATATCAGCTCAATCAATTTAACACTTATCTAATAATAATAATGTAACAACTTCTTACTTAGTTTCATAATCATATTTCAATCGACACAGAATAAGTGCGAATTAAAAACAGGAAGTGCCATTGTGCCGAAGAATTCTCTTAAAACTAACAACAATCCGCTCGATGCTCTCTTATTACGATAAAATCACTCGCTTAACGCCTAACAATTTGTTAAGTAATAGTTAAAATATTGGTCCAACAAATGGGCTAAATAATACAAATGCCCTTAATATTCATCCCTAATTTAACGATGTGGGATATGAAAAAATATTATTCAATAGATTAAAAAATGATAAGGGTCGAGAACACCGTTCGTAATGTTTGGGTCGATCCAACGGAATAATCTCTATCCTTCAATAGGTACTCGAATAACAATGTCAATACTATCAACTAATCTCATTACAGTTTCATTTAGACATAATGCATACAGAGATCTCATTGCCTGAAAATACGCAGATAGATTACCGTCGTTAGTCAACTTGATCACATCGAGACAGCCACGATCATTATCACTTGCACATATAAAAATTTTGCAAGTTCCGTTTTCTATTCACTGTAATAGTCACTTGAACTACTCAAAAATTGACACTTATGGCCAGAATCGTTAATGGTTTATGTCACTACGAGTACAGTTACTTGCGTTTCGGGGTGCCCATTTTTGATTTATAGTTCGGTCATTCCGATCTCCTGTGATCAGAGCGTGAGGCTCACATGCCTATAGGTGGTACTTGGACGTAGCGATAGATATACAACCTGTAATCTTTGCTCGCCAGTACGACTGACCCATCATCCATCAGCGCAACGTCGAAACATTGGGCATGTTTCACTTTGCTTTCAAGTGCTGACACTAGTTGTCCGTCTTGTGTAAATATCGTCAGATTGAAATTGTTATGGTTATCGGCAATTAAAATTTCGCCAGCGGCATTGATTCCCACACCAATTGGATAGTTGGTTACTCCTTCGCCTCCGATTTGACGCAAATATATGCCTTCGTAATTGAACACTTTAACGCAGTGTGCTCGGTTGTCACTAATGAATATCTCCTGTTTATCATTGACTACTACGCCATTAGGAAATTCTAAATGTTTAGAGCATCCAAATTTCTGAAGAACGTTGCCTACTTGGTCAAAAATTATTACACGCATCACTTTGCATTCTACGACCACAATACGTCCTTTATTATCAACAGTGACACCGCGAGGATGCTGGAGAATGTTGGCACCAAATTTACGTACAAATTGGCCGTATTGATTGTAAATCTGTATTTGGTGTGTAGGTGATCTCTCAGTTACAATTATGTCACCAGATGTACGCACTACGGCTACTCTGTTAGGATATAAGAGTTGGCCATCGCGTTTTCCGCATTCACCAAACTGGAATTTAAAACGACCTTCTTTGTCAAATATTTGTATACGGTGATTATTAGTATCAGCTACAATTATGTCATTTTGAGCGTTTACTGCGACACCGCTAGGTTCTGTGAATTGACCCTCCATTACGCCGAACTCTCCAAATTTGCAGTGATAAATCATCTTTTGTCTCTTAATTTGTGATTTAGGAGGAAAAATAGTAGTCGAGATAAGCTTGTTTGTCAACTCTAATATAGGGTCATTGTGAGCTGCCGATGAAAGGGAATATGGATCAGTGGTAGTGGGTGGGAATAATGGCTCGCAGCCACCGTTAGACCATTTCTCATACGGATTTATTCCGTTTAAATTAATATCGCCAATTGTTGTTGAAAATGGTCCTAGACTGGTCGCACTATTAAATCTTTTAGAAATAATGTTGGATTCAAAAGGAGATGTTGATTGGCTGGTAGGCCCGAGCAGGCCATTCGTATAGGGTCGATCAAGTACTCCATTAAGACCAGTTGGCAGATGAATTCCACCATTTAAACTACCAGAACTTCCATTAACGCTACTGCTGCTTGATGAAGATCCACCATTCAAAAGAGAGCCATTTGTGGGACGAGCAATAGGTGGTTGCTTCGTAGGACCAACATTTGCTTCTGAGCTTGAGCGCACATAACCAAAAGTGTTTCGTACTCCAACCTGTATCGCTTGATAATTTGAGACGAATTCCAATTCGCACGCAGTTTGAACGCTTTGTTCTGGATTGGAACTCATTAATGCCTGTAGTTTTGTGTCTAATAATTTTCTAAACATTAGTATATCAGCAATGTTTGCGCATTTTGTCAATCGTTCTACAAAGTCGCAAGTTTGGTAAATTTTATCGACTGTTTCCTGAGCCTTTTGTCCTACAACTGTAAGTGCGATTTGTTTCGTCGAAAATACACTTTCAAGTTCCTTCAGTAATTCTTGTTTACGTTCTTCTAGCATAGATCGATAAAATTGGAACGTATCATTGATTTCATTTTGAGCTTTATGGTATTGTACTTGTAGTTTTCCGGCGGCATGTTCAACAGTTTTTACTACATGCCTGATTTCTGTGGCACGAGTTTTAGCTTCTGTTACCGATTGTTGCATAAGTTCTAATTGTTTAGGTCCCGCATCGGACAGGTGTTCATAGTCATGTAATCCAGCAGGATGTTCAATTAATGTACATTCTTTGCATATTGGTACACAACATGTTCGACAGAAGTATTTTAGGATATCATTCTTGTGTTTTGGACAAAAAGCTGTTTTATCTCCGCTTACAGCTAGGGCAGATCCAAGCATACCCTTATCGTCTTTTAAATCGTTGAATGCCAGCACTCGGTGGCCTTCAAAGCAATGCATAAATTGATGAGCCATGACGCAATTGGGGCAGAGGAAGTTAGCGCAGTCGACGCAACGTGCTACTGCGTCGGACTCTTTGGATTTACAGCCGGTACAGCGAGCTGATGGCGAGTTAGTCTGGCGGGTAGATGGTAGAAGGTCGGCTTCTTGTTCAACTGCTGCTGCAATCACCAGATTCGTGAGCAGACCAGCAACACCGCTTGATGGTAGCGGGCTATCTACACGGCAAGTAACGCAAGTTACTTTATCCGGATGTGTTTGCTCTCTTTCTAAACAAGCCCGGCAAAAGGTGTGAAAGCAATTCAAAACTTTAGGGTCAACAAAGGTTTCTCGGCAAATAGCACAGGTTGTGTCGAGTCCGTCGTACTCGCGAAGGTCACATACGGCGGAGTCACTCGCTGGGGGCGAGGAGCCGCTGAGGGTCAGAGGAGATAAGGAGCCACGCTCCAGCGAACCTATCGAGTTGGCACCGGGCAGCGACTCAAGGGACGGGGTGCGTGAGGCCATCTTCAGGAAACCGGCATCCCTGAAACAAAATAAGACAAACTATTAATTACATTTATAAATAATTACTTATTATTTATAGTAACTTGTGAAGGATTAGGATATACATATAGTTAATATGTAACGAAATATAACAACAATGCAAAATCCAGGAATAATAATGCATGCGTATTGCTTTCATACCGGTTGGGTAGTCACGTAATCGATTTGGCATGAAATGTTACAAATTATTTCGTATTATTTTGGATTGTTATAATTATCCTCTGTTACAGTATATAAGAAAAGTACTTCTGAAATCAATGCGTATGAAATAGCGGACAAAAAGCTTTATATAGGATATATATTTATATCCTATATAAAAGTATATCTTTATATATAAAAGTTATATAATCTACACACACACCCCAAAACTTCATTTAGTCGTTAAATCATGATAGAGGTAACAAACATTAAACATATAAACATACAGAATTTTTTACGAACGTTCACATTTATAACATTAGTAGAATTAGTACCCTTCCTCCCTCTGCCTCAAAAAAAAAAACTATATCCTTACTTAACAAAAAGAATAAATAATTTCTTAAAACAATAAATAAATATTGAGAAGTATCTACTTAGTAGAAATTAATGGTATTTTACATTTATTGTACATAATGTTTTAATATTAGAACAGTCTTTGACCTTAGAAACGAGTACTGTGCCATAAACGTGATAAATGGACAAGCTTTACTCAATATTTTCGGTGAATTTACGACGATCGGAGTAAAACACCGGAAGGAGCCGAGTGGAATGGCGAAAACATCAATAATGGAGGAGCTAGTCGAAAACTGCACGCTGGCAGCATCACAGGAATGTTTACATTCGATCCCAATGCAGTTCGGAAAGGCAGCGTCACCATAGCAACATGGGGTGAATTGTAAGGGGATACTTCGTATTCGTAGGGCGAGGGCGAAAATTTATTTTGACTCCCCCAAGTTCAGTAATGTTAAGGGGAGATATTTGCGAGGTGAATGCCCTTGTTTTACGGTTATAGGTAGTTTAAATTATTCTAAACGAAGAGCAACATAATTGGACGCATGGTATTAGCTGAAACTTTGGAAGGACAATGCCATAATTACCCGCTCCCTTCAGACCCTTGTTCAGATCAACAACTAATGTATTTAATTTAAAGATAATGTTTATAATATCAAGCTGAGAAGCGATATGTCATTTTACATTTCACGTTATTGTCTTGTCATTAAAATGAATTTACTAGAATCTTAAAAGTCTAGCCTAGACAGTGTGAATGTGAATTAAATCTTAACAAATATATTTGATTATAGTTTTCAAAAATAGCGACTTCAGTCGTGACAAATATTTAAATTGAAAATGCATATTTTTTTATCTATGAGCAGATTTTGCTTCGCAATTTGTAATTTATAGTAAGCATTAGCTTCTGTTGTCACAATATTAATATAGGATTAAATAATTGTCAAAATCAGCTCAAAATTGGCGACATATAATATTGGTAAAAAGGCATAGAATAGGCCACACCCGTTTCTACCAGTGGGTGCCGTAAGGGACGACCAAGCCTACTTAATGGTCAAGAGATGAGCAGCAGTATCAAAGCCTAAATGCAATTACCAACCCGCCTGTCAAGCATGACAACATACTGGCAAAACCTCTCTTATGGGTTAGACCCATAGTTCAGCGGTGGACAGTAACAACAGTAACCGTGAAAATAAATATATAAACAAATGAATAGAGAACATCTTTGTTAATTTAGAAGTTTTTTAAAAGTAAATTAATATCACTTACATCTATATTATTAATTAGATAATACTGTAGATATAATAGACACATTTAGTAATCAGTGTATGCATCGTAATGTATAACGAAAAGCCTATCTATTTAATTCCCTATACGTTGACCTGTTGGAGGAATTTACGTGATCGATGCAAACGTTGGCAATACATTACAGAGCTGGGTTTAGTCCCCTGTGACAGTGTTGGCTCGATTGCATTGGCTATGCGATGGTGCATCCGAAATTACCACATTGCAGGCCGGGTAACTAATGAAGATAGCGTACGGAAATTGTGTGCTCTAGACAAACCGTAAATTACATAGATTTACAGTGTCGCAGCTCATTTTATGGAGTATGGACTGCTAAATCTCAACGTTCACAGAGTAGTAATTTAGCACATGTATGACTAGGTGATGTATGATTTAGGAGATTTTGTACAAAAGTCGTTTGCATGGGTGACTTTACCCTGTCTGAGTTTCTGCCGTGAAGCAGCTTGCAAGGTTTTCTTTTCAAAGGTATATGGGCAGAAAAATTACAGGACAATGCTATAGTCCTCAGGTATTCCTAGGGACTAAAATATTAGGTATAGGGTAGCATGGGTAGGAGAATGTATTTTATAATATACATGGCATTGTTCTAATGGTGACGTTTATAGGCGATGGTTCCATGAAGTTTAATCGCAAACATTTCTCGACACATTGCAAGAGATTGAATCTGATAGCTTTGGGATTATCGAAGTACCATTTGACAGCTTTATTTACAAATTGCGTTATATCGTTTGTAAGTGAAACTGTCGAAATAATAACTGTCATTTTCAAAGATTTTCAATATATAATTGTAAGCAATTGAGTTATATTAACTAATAACTGATCGGGTTACAAGACACAGTTTGCTAATATCCAATAAAATAAAAATGGATTAATTGATTCAATATGTTCCAATGAATAACTGATTTCCTAACCTAACTAGTCTAACTTAAATTTTGGTGTATGTTTCATCTTGATACACCATTTTAATCTCTTTTATTAATTTTTCTACTTTTGTATTTCAAGCGTACAAACTACTGGGCAAAAAGTAAGTGGAATATAAAGTTACATTCGTGAGCATGTACAATACGTAAGCTGTTAAAAAATCTCCCTTTAACAATATACATTTCATAATGGAATCCTTGAATATTTTCCTGACAGCTTGCGTAATATCAGAGAGCGCTGACAGGCAAATACATAACGGTACTTTTATTAGATATTACAGTTGATTATGTAACAGCCGCTCGGTTATGATATCCTGTCACAATAATATTATTTATTATATTGTATCTTATCTCAAACTGATAACTAGTAGATACAATTATTTATCCGCAAAATCCAAAAGAACGTCAAGACATTGTTGGATAAGTTGAGGGAAGATAAGAAAACTCCATTGTTAATTATATTGTGTCACCAACTTTCTTACGGACTTTGCGTTTTGTCCTCGAGGGTTTGCTTTCGTTGTTTTGTCGTTTCACAAGTTTACATTTGTATGTGTACAATAAGCGTATGTCACTCTTATATTATATAAGCTGCATACAGGCTTTGCCCGCGTGATTCAGTACGTAAGATATCCTGTGCCCAAGTTGGGATATTACCTACTTAATTTCAAATTTCATTTAAATCATAATAGTATTGCAAACAAACACATCTTTTAAATGATTACGAGTACTTATTTTTCACACTAACTGTATGTAACTATAAATATCTCTCATCAGAGACTTAGTCGAAGTAGTTTCTTTCATCTTGATAAAGAGGTTGCTAAGCACTAAAGTAATAGGTACTACAAACCTACTCGTTGCGACATCTAAATTTACCAGCGTATAGATTCATCATGAGTAATAAGCAATCAGTTATACATCTGAACCAGCAATATCTCTCGTAACGGAGATTTGAGTAGTGATGTGACGAGGTAAGCCGACTCGAATACTCGAATATCTTCAACATGTCATTTCTTTTTTTATTAATTGTTAAAGGAAAATAATCGATTAAATCATAAATAGGCATTCTCGATACTCCTCGGGAATAGCAACGCATGAGAGGTATCATGAATATCCCAATGTATTTTGTGACGTTTATGGTACTGTCCATATCTATAAGCGACGGTTACCGTGTTTTGCGGTACGCCTAATTCCATTCTAATTATCATAAAAAATCATTAAATTTTAATGAAAATAATTAATTAATTATTAGTTTCCGAAATAAATTGAATTAGATGAAGTACGTGAATATTTCGAGTTATCAGACTCGAAACACGTTTCTCTTTTTTTTTAATAAAAACCATAATATACTAAAATACAAAAACAAAAACTCAATTCGGCACATCACTAGATTTGAAGACGTTACACACAGCTATAATTAGCGTACCGATGAATCGCTATATCATGACTGTCAGCGATTTAGTGCTGAGAGTTACATTATGGGACAATTAAACGAGCATCTTAGAGTTTATGTACTCATGTTACAGTCAATATTATTACATAGTTAAAAGTACTTTCAGAAAATAATTTCAGAAGAAGTTAGGGTAAGATTTTAACTGTAGCATTTGAAATGTGAATACAAAACGATTGTTCGCTTGTTGAGAAAGTTATTAAGAGTGAGGTTTCTTTTTGTTTTCATTTATAACTGTTATGTTTTTATATTAAAAAGTAACTTATTTCTTTTTCCATCGAAAATAGCACGCGCTTACCAAATTTCGTGATGATTGGTTAAGCAGTTAAGGTACAAAGATGTAACAAACAAATAAACTCACTTTCAAATTTACAATATTAAATTATAATAGTGTTGGTATGAATATGAGAAAGAAATTATTTGGTTTTGACGTGGAATTGAGTTTATTTTAAAGTAATTTAAAGTTTTTAACTATTTATTTTGAAGTATATTTATTACAACTATTTATTTATTCTCATGTAAATGATTGGTTTTTACTACTAAAAAATCATGTAAAAAGCACGAATGAGTAGACCAGCTTCTATTTATTTCCATACAAGACCTTCTCGCATCTCATCTACATATATACACACTGTTGCACATTTACATATTTTACGGGGAACACAAGGCGAATACGCATATACTTGTTACAATTTATAATCCAACAGAATACCTTACTAATGCCCGGTTTACATTGCCAAAGCACTTGCATACAAGTGATTTAGTAGAATTCTACGCATAAAACATATTATATAAGGTACTAAATAGGGTGTTATGCAGTGG